GGATTTAATTACTTGGTTTTATTTAAAACTTAATTTTCAATTTAAAACAAAATGCAGAAAAGAAATGAAGAAATACTCTCAACGAAGAATCAAAAACAGAAAAACGGAGAAGACGGAGGAGGCAAAAAGAGCAAAAATAAATAAATAAATGAATAAATAAATAAATAAATAAATAAATGAATGAATGAATAAATAAATAATGAATAAATAAGGGGACAAGCAGCAAATTAAGACAGAAAATAAACCCTAAACCACTGAGCAGCAAACGCTAAAGAAGCAGCAGCAAAGCTTTAGTTCAAATAACAGCTGACACGCAGCAGCAGCAGCAGCAGCAGCAACAGCAGCAGCAGCAACAGCAACAGCAGCAGCAGCAGCACGAACCTTCACGTCTCCTAGGGCGTGTCGCACAATAGTGGTGACTGCAGTTCCATGTTTTCTTATGCGGGAATAAACTGGCAAGTTGCCGGAGGGGGTCCGCAGCACCTGCAGCAGCAGCAGCAGCAGCAGCAGCAGCAGTAGCAGCAGCAGTGGCAGCAGCAGCAGCTGAGGGGCGGCGGTGGCTGCAGCAGAGGCAGATTGAGGCGCAGAAGCAGAGCAGGCGCTGCAGCAGCAACAAGTGCTGCAGCCGAAGCGGGAGAGAAGAAACCCCTGCAGCAGCAGCAGCAACTGCAGCAGCAGCAGCAGCAGCAGCAGCAGCACTAACCTTGAAGGGTATTTGGTCCGTGTCTTTGTTGGGGACTTTTTTGAATTTGATTTCAATAAGAAATCGCGCAGATTGAAAAGAACTCAAAGAAGTGACAGATAATGGAGCAGCAGCAGCAGCAGCAGCAGCAAAAGGAGACAGACAACCAGCAGCAGGAGCAGCAGCAGCAGCAGCAACGGGAAAGCGGCCGCCACCCAAAGAAGCAGCAGCAAGATGGGGCTCTAGGCCTCTTTTAAGGGCGCCAAAGGGGCCCCCAAAAGGCCGGCGGGAGGCGTAGTAGCAGCTCACTCCACAAGGAGCCGCTGCTGCTGCTGCTGCTGCTGCAGGTGCTGCTGCTGCTGCTGCTGCAGGTGCGGCTTGCAAGACCCTCCCCGTAACCGTGCTGGTCAAGAGACTCATGGGTAGTACAGGCCGCCCCATTGGGGCTCTCCAAGTGACGAGGGTTTAGGGTTTAGGGTTTAGGGTTTAGGGTTTAGGGTTGTGGGAAAAGAGGGAATATAAGCGCAAAACCTAGCTACAATCCATTAATCATTGCTGCCTCCTTATTTGAAAGCCTCGGGGGCCCCTGAGGGGGCCCCCTGGGGGGCCCCTGGCCCCAAGGGGCCCCTAGGGGGCCTTAGGAGGCCCCCGGGGGCCCCAGGCTCCTCGGTTGCTGCAGCCCCGTTCGATCGCTCTATAGCTTGGCATTCCTATTTGTGGGTGTTTTAATTAATTAAATTGTTCCTTTTAATTATTTAAAAGTATATTTGCTCATAAATGATGCAAAGAAAGAAGAGGAAACAAACCTGGATGAGGCCACCAGCCCTCGGCTGTGCCTGGGGTGTATATACACCTCAGAACCACAGAACCAAGTAGCTGATTTGCCCGCTGTGCCGCTAAAAAGGAATTTCAATTTAATTTATGTTTTAAACTTTTATTTATTTACTCAATTAATGCTCAGTCGATGAAAAATCCCGGACACAAGCGGCTGGCTGAGCCGCCTGCAGCCAGCTGCCTTTAGGTAACCCCTAGGGGCCCCCTAGGGGCCCCCTAGGGGCCTCTAGGGGCCCCCTAGGGGACCCCTAAGAGGCATTTGGGCCCCGAAATAGGGATTATGAGGGGCCCCTCCGGAGGGCCCCCGATAAAGCCCCTCTTGGGGCCTCCCATAGCTGTCTTCCCTGTCGGTACCCCGTGGGGGGCCCCCAAAACGAAGAAAGAAAAAAGTCATTTGGCTTCTCGCTGCAGTTGGGTGGCTTTGGGGGGCCCCCTGAGGGCCCCCCTAAGGGGGGCCCCTCCAGGGGCCCCCTGCAAGCCTGGAGCTCTTTGTTGCACTTCTTTCATAGCTT